AAAAAAAAAAAAAGGAAAAGAAAAACCTCACATGTTTACACCTTATAGGATTACCAGTACATCATTTAAAACTAATCTGTAGCAACAAATTATCAGGAAAGACAGCCTTTCAGAATTAGGTTTTCTGGGATTTTAGTGCTTCTTTCACAGAACATGACAATAATGACCGAGTGCCTTACAAATACAGGTTTTACAAGTAACATTTGCAAGATTATATGTACAGGCAACAAATACGAACTGTATAAGTAACATTTCCAAGATATACGAAAAATAGTAAGATGGCAATAGTTAAAATGGTCACAAATATCTCCCATATCACATAGAACACACGATTCACATTAGCCTCTTATGTTCTCAAATTGGCCTCTTCCCAGATTAGAATCTTTTTTTATTTTTTTTATTTTTTTTATTTTTTTGTTAAAGGCAAGTTAAATAAGGTAGTGGGAGTGGAGAAGGAACAAAAAAATCTGTAACCGGTTGTGATCAATTAGTTGTATACGTCACTAGATTGCCTAATTAGAGATTCATTAAACGAGATCTTTGATGCATAATCATATATCTGTCCCACTAGTTACTGGTTGAGAGGGAACATTTACTCCTTATGTGTCTTAGAATCTTGCTAATGTTGCTAATTAAAAAGAATTTCATTCTTAACATCAGGCTTTTAAAGTTGTTTTAGTTAGCATTCATTATATTGACAGCTAATTTGACTTGAGTTTCTTTTATAATAATGAATAAAGGGATGTGGAATGTTATTGATCTCCAATAATATCAGCTAACTTATATTAAATAATCATTACATATCACTGCATATTTTAGATAGATTATCTTAATAGTTGAGACAGTCATATGTTGTAGTATTTTTTTGGCGACTGGCTGGTACAGGGATCCGAACCCATAACCTTGGTGTTCTATGGCTGCACTCTAACCAACTGAACTAACCATCCAGCCCCTTCTTGTAGTATCTTTATCCCAATTTTACCAGTGAGTAAATTGACACTGTGAGGTTAAAAACTGTCAGAGCTCAGATTCAACACCTGAAAGTCAGACCACAGTCTGTGTTCTTAATTTCACCAAAACATGTCTACCCAAATTATACATACCTTTTTTTTTTTTTTTTTTTTTTATTCTAAAGACCATTTTGGAATTACCTGATTATAGGCATAGATTTTTTTTTCATTTGTTATGAATATTCACGGGGTACAAAGCCAAATGTCACCATTCGTGCCCAAGATGTGATGGCCAGAACCATACTGGCAGCAACGCATAAATTTGTAAAGGTGACTTTTTCTCTTCTGAAATGTCAATTTTTCTTAAATTACCATCTCGTATTTTTATATTTCTATCTCTTCTTAGCCTGAAATCTTGGTTCCTAATATTAATATCCACATATGTTTGTTTGTTCCTATTATACACTAGTTTCCGAATAATAAAAGCCAATATTATTGCTAATGACCTATTTTCAGAAAAGTTTTTGCAGTTTTTTTCTCTCATAGGAATTATACCTCATTAGGGATGCATAATCAAACAACTAAAGGGAAAAATAAACAAACAGGGACTTAATGTGTAATGAACAAGAAAACTACTTACTGCTACCCTCAGCAACTCCTTTTCTACTTGTTCCAGTTTATTCTGTTTAGATGCAGCAGAATAAAGAGCAGTGGCATAGCGACCTTCAACACCATATACTTGAACAGGTGGCTTTAAAAAAAGAGTGGGGTAGGAAAAGCATGAAAAAGCAAAATAGTGAGACAGTATTATACTGTCAAGAGAAGAATTAAGTATTTGTAACTTAAAAAATACATCTCTTTCTTATAACACAAAACAGTTTAAATACATCATCAAAGAGCTGTCCTACATGGAAATTCTCAAACAAATTAGGGATGTTTCCTTGGCCAGGTCACCCAGTCTCTGGCCTCCAATTCCTCATCAATAAAATGATGAGCTCAGAAGACAGGTGTCTAAAGTCCCTTCCTGCTCTACCTACCTATAATTCAATTACTTTAATTTTGAGATGTGCTTATGCTTCCTTTGAACTCAATTAAATATTCAGTACCACATATGGGAGGTTTTTAACACTGAAAGAAGACAGTTGGAACATGTTAAAGCAAGGAAAACAGGTGTTTATGAAACATGTAAGTATAGTCATGAGCTGCATAAAGATATTTTGGTCAACGACAGACCCCATGTACCATGGTGGTCCCATAGGATTATAATCGCTACCCCATATAGACTAGGTATGTATAGGCTACACCATCTAGGTTTGTGTAAGTACACTCATGTGATACTCGCACAATGACAACATTGCCTAACGATGTATTTCTCAGAACATATGCCTATCGTTAAGCAACACATGACTGTATTTCCTTGGGATAAATTCCAAAAAGTAGAATTCTGTGTCATAATCAGGCTTTTGCTAACTGCCTGCAGTATGCTAAACCCTGGGATGTTAGTACTTGAAATGAGAGAATGACTACAAGGACATAGCTGCTACCTGTACATTGTTTATAATCCAGCAAAGAAGGGAAACTCTGAATAGAAGCAGCTCAGGGCAGCCTATGAGCAGAGAGAATTCCAGGTGATGTGCTTTGAGAGGTGCCAGAAGGGGGCGTCATTCTGAGGACACCCACTGTGTCAGGTCCTGACCACGTAATTCTGAATGCATGGGCTCTGTGCAGAGATAAATGGGATTTATTATCTAACTTTTATACCTTACATATTCTTTCTCATAATGTTTGATGCAAAGTGAAAACCAATAGGGTAAGTTGATTAGCAATTGACTGCAGGCCACCATGACTGAAAGGACACATTAAAAGGAAGCAGCATCGGGGCCGGCCCGTGGCTCACTCGGGAGAGTGCGGTGCTGATAACACCAAGGCCCCGGGTTCAGATCCCATATAGGGATGGCCGGTTCGCTCGCTGGCTGAGCGTGGTGCTGACAACACCAAGTCAAGGGTTAAGATCCCCTTACCGGTCATCTTTAAAAAAAAAAAAAAAAAAAAGGAAGCAGCATCAAGAAAACTCTCAGTATCTTTAGGGCATTTCTTGGAATTTTAGCAATTCTTTCCAGTCAATGCTCCAACATAGGCAGGCATCACAAGAGTTGGCTCAGGTATTGTTAAGTGACAAGAAACAAAAGTCACTCAGTAATTTAAATTAATCCAAAATTAATGTTTTCTGGGCTTTTTCTGTGAGTTCAGGGGGAGACTCAGAAAAAACAAAAAGAAAAAGGAAAGAAATGTTCTGTCTTTTGAGAGTCTAACAGCCTTTTAATAAATTTACAAGAAATAAATGCACACACACATTTATATATGTTAAGGCAGTGCTCGACTGTTACAACAACTAGTGAAGTGCACTTAAACAGAAAGAAGAAACTCAAGATCAGAGGGTGTGCCGCGGTCACCAATATCTCCCCCAGGTTTGGTTGTTCTCTAGATGGACTCAGAGGACTCAGCATAATGAGTATGGTCCTACTCATGGCTAAAATTTATTCCAGTGAAAGGATGGATATAAAGCAAAATCAGAGGGAAAGCACACATGGGACAAGTCTAGAGGAAGCCAGGATCAGTCTTCCACGATCCACTCCGGTGGAATCTCACAAGATGTTATTATTTCCTCCAGCAACAAGTTATGACAGCCCCTGTTCTATGTTGTCTACCAGGGAAGCTCACCAGAGCCAGGGAGTCCAAGGTTTTTGTCATGGTTCATTCTCATCCAAACATCTGACTAGCCTATACCAAAATCCCATACTCTCAGAGGAAACCAAGTGTTCAGCATAAGTCACATTGTTTGTACAAATAGTTTAGGCACAGTGAGCCACTCTTATCTGTTAAGGAAGAGTGAAATACTCTGGGGTTTAGTTCCCAGGTGCCAGCCAAGGGCCGATATTGTGAACAGGTATAAGCATAGCAGTTTCAAGTTCACTGTGTTAACTCTTTTCTGCATAAGAGATATACAACTTACCAGACTTTTTCTATTTCTCTATTTCTGTTTTTATATCTTTATTTTATATCTCTGTTTCTATTATCTTACGGTTGCTCTGTCAGTGTGTGTGTCGCTATGTCCCCACCCTCTCTCTC